GAAATAGTAACGCCAAATGAATCAAATCTTTCAAATCAAATCTTTTCTTTCTCTCAACTCCGCTTCTCTGTGTTCGACTTGCTGTTTGTTTACATTCACTAGCCTCCAACATGGCCGCCACGCCAGTAATGACGTCACGACGCCCAAGCCCTATATAGGGCATAGAGTAATGACAAATAAAAATCGCTTGTTATTACCACTAACAAGGCTCAAAATAGCCCCACACTAACACGACAGCATAATAAGGGTCCCTACATTCAAACCGAAGCATTGAGAACTTTGTCAGTGTCCAAACAGTTTAATAAGAAGATATTTTATACACACAGCCAACTTCGCGAATACAGGAAGAAGCCATCTTTGAAAAATAGTCTCTACCAGTCGATCTACGAACGCCGATCCAAGCGCGCTGAACTGTGCAGAATCTCATATGGTCCGTTGTTTCCAGAAGAAACACAAACACAAACCGTTTTCTTCTCTTCAGTATACGTAGCCTACTGTTCACGCTCACCTTATCACCTTATTCACATCTCACCAGCGCACTTGGATCGGCGTTCGTAGATCGACTGGTACATCTCACTATTTTGACACAACAAGGTCATTATAAAGCGAGTTAGAAGACAAACGGTTGATTAAAACAACTTTAGTCAGCACATCTGAACACACACATTACCGTATCAAATATATAAAGCCTCGATGAAAACACAAGATTGTGTTCAGTTGTCAGCTATACTGTCCAGCCCTACTTTACATGTTAAACAAGAAACGTTTCACTTCTCTTTCCGTCATCTGACACTGTAAATAAAGAGACTGTCAGTCCAGCAGGACAAGGCCTGATCAATCATTCACAGATAACAGATTATCCTCATCACCAGACATACAGAGACATGAACACAACACAAAGTGGATGTGGAGACACACTGTCAGACAAAAGCTTGGAATAAATAATGATGATTCATTTTAAATGTTTTTGAAAGGCTGCATTATTGAATAAAAAAAACACAGTAAAACTGTGGAATATTATTCACGTGTAAATTATCTGTTTTTATGTGAATATACAGTAAAGTGTAATGTATTCCTGTGATTAAAGCAGAATGTTCTCAGGCTTCAGTGTCACATGATCCTTCAGAAATCACTCTAATATGATGATCTGATGATCAAGAAACACTTATGATTATTATCAGTGATGTGCTGTTTCATATTTCTGTGGAAACCGATACATTTGATACATTTTTAAGATTATTTTATGAATAGAAACGTCAAAAGAACAGCTTTTATTTTTTTAACATTATAAATGTCTTTATTGTCAATTTTGATCAACTTATTGCAGAAGAAACTGTTCCCAGTGTATGTAAACGCTCTTGTATTCGTACGATCAAATACAGCTTTCTAAAACACAGTCACGAGATCTGCTCTCATGCAGGAGGGGTGAAGTGTAGTGGTAAACACACACACACACACACACACACACACACACACACACACACACGTCTGGAGGCCGGTGAGAGGGTCAGGAACCGAGATAAAATCAGGGTCGACTGCAAACAAAACACACTCCATCACACACACACCACAGTTAAAACTGCCTGCTCTCCACATCTAGTATTACTACACAGTTTAGATGTGAAGTAGGGTAAAGTACATTACATTCACATTTATGCATTTGACAGATGGTTTTATCCAAAGTAGGGATGCAAATTATAGATTAATTCATTAATCATTACTTGATTAACCTTTTCATTCGATTAATGATTAACTGATTCAGCTGTACTTTTTGGTGCACTATACTGGGCATCCTTACACAATCTGACTTTGAACATGTTCAGGGATTGGCAATATGTGTAGGCCTCTTTATAAGTCCACGGCCAGCGGAGCTGAAATGAGCACATTGACTGCAGCGAGAGCCTCGTGAAAGAGGCAGGAGGGCTGTAATAAAAGGTCACAGCTACAGTCTGGAAATCCCGTAGACTTCGCTATAATTGTTCATAATGCTTCATAATAACAGGGACTCAGAAAGCGCCATTGTCTCCTGTCTGAAGTCTACAGGCAATCACTTCTCCTACAAATCCCAGCATTAATGAAAAACAGTTAAAGTAGCAGTTCGTGTAACCCAGACAACTATTATAATCTCAGTCTCAGACGGCGAATCTACCGTACCAAAACACACGTAGCAGATGCAGATCTGAGCTTTATGATCTTAATTAGAAACATGATGGTCTCATGATGGTATGATATTGTGATACTGCGTTTAGCTACGAAGCAGACTTAGCTTTTATAAAGCTAGAAACACTTTAAATCTCATATTATTTCATCTATTACTGATGGGGAATACCCATAATGCCTTGCACTTGCATGGTTTAATTTGGTTTGTTTGGTCCAAACATGGGCAATTATGAGGATGTGTAGATTTACAGGATTAAGGGATAAAACATTTAGTGTTTTGATGGGTTCATCTTGAAAAAAACACATAGTATGATAAGTGTTACTTTAGGTTAGGTTTGCTCAGTTTCTTCTGAGACATATAGTTGCTCTGTAATGTTATTGTTAACGAGTATTAGTTCATTTAACCCCATATTTAACTTAATGTCTTAAAGTTCCCTATGGTGAACATCCAGTTTTTAACGTTGTTTATGTGTCTATGTGGTGTGTTTAATATGCTTTAAGACACACCATGTGTAAGTTGATAAGTGGACAGCATTGCTGAGTAAAACTGCAGTGAACCAAAGACAGTCTCAAACACACGGTGTGTAATCGCTGGTGTTTCTGACGTCACAAACCACCTTGTAACCAATCAGATCAACGTGTGATCGTCAGTGGAGGCGGGGCTCATTTGCATATTCATAGCCCGTGCATACCGAATGAGGCAAGGGTGTCGAGTTACAGTCAAAATATTTTAAGACATTAAGAAAAAGAAGAAAAAAACATTTAAATATTGTCAATATGGTGATCAAAGATGAGTTTTAAAGGGATAAGTTATGAACTACATGTGAACTTTAAGGACCAAGGCCACTTAATTTTTATTTATTTTTTTTTTGCTATTTCTTTCTGGAAAAGTTGTCACATCTTTGGGCCAATCCCAATTCTACCCCTTACCCCTTCCCTTTCCCCTAGCCCTACCCCTTCGTCTTCCCCTTGACCCTTGAAACAGAGTGGCAATGCGTAGGGGTGAAAATATTCCCCTAAGAAATGGGACACCACTACGCCTCCGTTAAACGTCATTATAAGTCGTCGCTAGCGCCTACGTCACAGGATATGCGCCGATGTTTATCACAACTTCCAAGATCCCGTCGACAGCTGCAGTTATCTGTCGCGTGGGTTACAGCTATTTTCTTGCATCTTGTGAAGTTTGCAGGAAACAACGGAGACGACGAAAATATGTTGCGGGACTATCGTTAGCAAACTACAGTAATTTTAGCGATTTTTTTACAAACGTTTCTGTGAAGAAACTGACCGTAAATATGAACACAATATTGAATGTAACATAAAGCAAATCATTATTTGTCGTTATAATACTTATTAAAGCCACAAATACTTAAATTTATGGGTCTCCTTTGTCGCTTGGGCAGCCAGGCTGGGTTAGCAGTGACACTTCTCATACCCCTTCGTTTGAAGTGTGCTCCCGAAAAATCTTCGTTTGAAGGGCTATCTGGCCCTTTCCCCTAGCCCTCCCCCTCCAACCAAAAGAGAATTGGGACAGCCCTACCCCTTCACGTGGACGCGCAAAACGGAGGGGAAGGGGAAAGTGAAGGGGTAAGGGGTAGAATTGGGATTGGCCCCAATTCTACCCCTTACCCCTTCCCTTTCCCCTAGCCCTACCCCTTCGCCTTCCCCTTGACCCTTGAAACAGAGTGGCAATGCGTAGGGGTGAAAATATTCCCCTAAGAAATGGGACACCACTACGCCTCCGTTAAACGTCATTATAAGTCGTCGCTAGCGCCTACGTCACAGGAGATGCGCCGATGTTTATCGCAACTTCCAAGATCCCGTCGACAGCTGCAGTTACGTGGCGTGGGTTACAGCTATTTTCTTGCATCTTGTGAAGTTCGCAGGAAACAACGAAAATGACGACGAAAATATGTTGCGGGACTATCGTTAGCAAACTACAGTAATTTTAGCGATTTTTTTACAAACGTTTCTGTGAAGAAACTGACCGTAAATATGAACACAATATTAAATGTAACATAAAGCAAATCATTATTTGTCGTTATAATACTTATTAAAGCCACAAATACTTAAATTTATGGGTCTCCTTTGTCGCTTGGGCAGCCAGCCTGGGTTAGCAGTGACACTTCTCATACCCCTTCGTTTGAAGTGTGGGCTATCTGGCCCTTCACCCTAGCCCTCCCCCTCCAACCAAAAGAGAATTGGGACAGCCCTACCCCTTCACGTGGACGCGCAAAACGGAGGGGAAGGGGAAAGTGAAGGGGTAAGGGGTAGAATTGGGATTGGCCCTTAATCTCAAGTCATCAAAAATGGAGAACAAATCATATTTCATAATAGCACTGCACATTACTCATATGGCATAATACCAGCTTCATTTTAACCCACAATCTCACAATCAAGTCAAGGTTCAGAACTAGGGCTGGGTATCATAACAAAATGTTCGATACCGATACCTTGAACAAAATATTCGATACCGATACCTGAACGATACCAATTTTATGTAACCAGTTTTAATAATATAATATTACCTAAATTTTCATTTTATTTTTCAGTTTGTTGACTTTTTCACGCTCATATTTTGAGTATGTAAAAAAGCACCAATGCTAAAGTTTTCTGTTTCCTAATCATTTAACCACTTAGGTACCGAAATTTGGTACCGAAAAACAAGACATGTTTCGATACTCGGTAGTACCGAGGCAATTTGGTCGGTACCTAAAAAGTACCGAACTCTGTACCCAGCCCTATTCAGGACTAAGCTTCCCAGTGTTTCACTGATCAATTCCCATGATCGCAGTCACGATATCCAGTACAGCCTGAGAAGAGAGAGAGCCGGGACTCACCTGTGGGCGTAACCACGACCTTCCCCATGTCCTCGGACTTCTCCAGGATCTTCCTCCATCTTCTTCCCTCTTCCCCCTGCCTCACCCACTCCTGGGCCGCACACACGTACTGCCCTTGGTCCGACGGCTTCGTTCTCTTCAGGACTAGTCCGTAAAATCCCCCTCCTCGAAGGTCCAAGCGCAGCCCCCCGTCCGTGTAGCGCTGCGTGTAGTTGCTGCCGACACTGATCTTATCATCCGGCCCGAAGGTCAGGATGTCCTCGAGCGGGCCGGTGTCGCCTCTCCTGAGGGACCAGGACACGGAGAGGAAAGTGTGCTCTGTGAAGCCTCGCGTCGCGTTGCACTGAAGCTCCAGGGGTTCTCCCTCGGACACCGCGGACTTGGGGATGGCGGGAGAAACCTTCAGACTGTCCCCGATCACTGTAGACAACAGAGGACACTTTAACATGTGCATTGTGGGATATACAGGAGGATCTGTTACAGAAATGCAATATCATATACACAACTGTGTGTTAAAGGGTTAGTTCACCCATAAATGAAAATTCTGTCAGTATTTCCTCACCCTCATGTTGTTCCAACCCCGTAAGACCTTCGTTCATCTTCGCAACACAAATTAAGATATTTAAGATATTAAGATCACTCCTGCATACAGTCCATAGGCTTCTTGAGGGAATGACTCTTGCTGTCCCCGAAAAGTCATTAAAGACATCGTTAAAATAGTCCAAGTGACTACAGGGGCTCAATCTTAACTTTATCAAACGACGAGAACACTTTTTGTGCGCAAAAACAAACAAAAATAATGACTTTATTTCAACTATTCACTTCCTTCTCCATGAGCCTGTAGTCAGTTAACGTAGTGTGATTGCGTAGAGCTACGTCACACGTAGGCTCACTATTGGCCGACGCTGGTCATGTGTGTGTGATGCGCGTGACGTACAATAACAGAAGCTTACGCTATTAAACTAGTAACCTGACTCGAGGCAGAGAGAGAAATAAACGAATAGTTGAAAAAAATTCGTTATTTTTGTTTTTTTTTGCACGAGTATTCTCGTCGTTTGATAAAGTTAAGATTGAGCGACTGTAGTCACTTGGACTATTTTAACGATGTCTTTAATGACTTTTGGAGGCCAGCAAGAGTCATTCCCTCAAGAAGCCTATGGACTAGTATGCAGGAGCGATCTTAATATCTTAAATATCTTAATTTGTGTTGCGAAGATGAATGAAGGTCTTACGGGGTTGGAACAACATGAGGGTGAGTAAATACTGACAGAATTTTCATTTTTGGGTGAACTAACCCTTTCAGTAGTGTATGAAGACCTCACTTAATGAACCGTTATGTGTTTATTAGCTTAGAACGAGCCATTTCTCTCTACACACACCGCGGGTCGCCTTACATCGACATGTTTCTACAGTGGCCCTGAACGGACAAACGCGTTTCGTCACTAATGTTGTTCTTCAAGTCAGCGAATAAAACACTGACACGATGATGAACACGTTACCATAATAGTCGGAATAACATTTTTTACTGAATTATGGAAACCTAATTTCTTAATTTATCTTTGTAAAGAAACCTCAACTGGCGACTTTCTGCTGTCTCAGACGACATCACTTCCTGTCGGCCACTGTAACTTCTGTGGGGTGTAATTCACAACCTCACCACTAGATGCGCTAGAAATTACACACTGCAGCTTTAAAGCAGACGGGGGAGGGAGATGTGCGGTTCTACAGGTGAAGTGTGTGATTTCCATGTCACCATACCTGTCTTCCATTGTTAGGACAAACAGATAATCACACCCCAATCTCAAAATGTTTTTTTTAAACCTGGTCTGGCTCTTCAAAATTGTAATTTTGTTGCAGAAATAGCACACTTCACCTGTAACAAGACAGCTGGAATCAGCACTAATACAATATTACTGGGATATGATGAAGAAAAAACATACATTACACTGTTTCTTGATCATCAGATCATCATATTAGAGTGATTTGTGAAGGATCATGTGACACTGAAGACTGGAGTAATGATGCTGGACTTTGATCACAGGGATAAATTACACTTTGCTATATAGAAAAACAGATGATTTACACTGGAATAATAGTTTATAGTTTTACTCTTTACTCCATATTTGGTCAAATAAATGCAAACTTTCAACTCCTTTCAGGCCAAAACAAATATCTTCAAAAAAATTATATAAAATAAATATAAAATGTATTGTGTTATTTCTGAAACTTTCATTCTGAAGCTCCTAAACTCATCATCACATGAAGAACAGAAGGGACATTTCAGTCGCTTGTTTCCTTTCGACTCAAGTTGATCTAGTTCTGCTGAACTGTGGTTAGAACAGGCTAAACGAGCCAGTTAGCGCTTGACCCTTGACCTCTCTCACGCTCTGTGTCTGTCAGTGTCAGTCTCTATCGGTTAAAGTTTTAGGGAAATTCCTGCGTCCTTAACGCTCTTCTCAATCTCTAAATCTACAAATGAAAGGGATTGTTCACTTCGACGGGAACATGATGTCATTTACTGACCCAGAAACCCTTCAAATAATGCAGGATCAGTCAGATCTATAATCAGTAATCGGCACACAAGCCTATCAAGTGTCTTCGGGATGTACAAGTCAATACGGACTACTTTTACTGTACTCTTACAGAGTCAAACTGATGTTTTAGAAAAGACAAGAACAGCACATCGGTTTAGAGACTCTAAAGTGAGCGAGTCAATAAAGATTTGTTGTATTTTATTTTGGGTGAACGGTCTTTAAGCATAAAAAAGACTTTATCCCTGCGCTGATATTTTTCTTAGTCGGTGCGGATGAGTTCACTTTGTCCATCTCATCTATAGAGAAGCGTCAGACCTCCACAGACTTTCACTCTGAACAAAGAACAAGTCTTTGTATTTGTGTGACACTTCAAGCCTCGCAGCGAATCACATTCCTTTACGCTTCTAGTTTAAACATGTAAATGGACTGTATCTGATACACAGGATCAACATCAGCAAACTGCACAGGAATCAACTTCATGCTCATTTATCTTCAGATCTCTTTATGAATTTGAATATTTAACATTGATAAAACTTAGTTCAAGAGATCAAATGAGTTATTTAACACAAATCTAATGGAATTTACAGAATAATCTCAAATATCAGTAATCTCAAATTGTGCGATTCGTTGAGATCAACCCTATGAGCGATTACGCCGTTCATGGTGAACCGGTCTGCTCGGGTAGGCTAGGTTTTATATAGTCACACTGTGTTGAGGAAGTGCTGTGTCGTCCAGTCGTTCGTCTCGCACTGATAGTTCACACGGTTGTATCCAGTTAAAGTCTTCAGTGTAACTGTACACACACGTCCTCCGTCAGCTCGTGTCTTTGTGTGTCAAATCTGCTCTGATTTATCAAGGAAACGCTAGAATAACTTTGATATTGTTAGAAATATTTCAAGATGAACACTTATTGAAGCAGCTTCACTTATCATCCTTTATTACTGTAGAAAAATCATGAATGTCAAATATGATCATCAGGAAGGTTTTAGGAAGGTGTATTTGTTCATCCCTCAATCATCATTATAACGCTTTAAATCTACAGAGCTTTGATCGAAACTAAGCATTTAAATATCATCTTACAAAGGCTTATTATTGGCAGATATAGTTATATTTGGTTTTATGTCAGTATCTGCTGTACTGTTATAAAGATCTCATTGATTTACGTTACAAGTATCTGGGGCTGAACGTTTCCAAAACATCCTGGAACATTTTCGAAGACTCTGGAGAGTTTGCAATCAGACGTACATCTCACTTTTTCTCCAGATAAATCAGGTAAATCAATGTCTGCCCAAAATTGCATATTTTTGCTCAGTTTGTGCCTCTAAATAAAACTGAGCCGTTTTATCCCCTCTGAATTCTCACTATATGACACATAAAAGCCTGATGTATAACTATAACCAAAAAAAACATGCAAACTTTATTTCGTCTAAAGGGTTCAATAAAGTGCTCCACCGGGAAAAGGAAAAACAGCATTTCTCTGTCAGGACGGGGATACGGGGCTGAGGTAGGAGAAGCCTAAGGTTGGGTATCGTTTGAATTTAAACGATTCTGATTCCGATTCCGATTCCTTGTTTCGATTCCGGTTCCTAACGATTCTCGATTCCGATTCTTTTAAGAGGCAGGGTCAAAAAAAGTTTAGCGAATCAACGGCCTTTCTGAAGGAAATACTCCTGTAAAAATACTCCTTTTGTCACAAATTTTGCATTTTGCCGAGATTTCGTTATTTTTGGAAAAGTGAAGCCACACTTTGGATCGCCGACGTAAGGTACTCATGTTCGACTCGCGCGGTTATACCAACACTTCCGGTAGACGCTTCTTCGTTGGTGTTGTTCAGCGGTTTCTTCTTCCGCTCGGCGGACTGTGAATATCGAAACTAGGAATCGAAATTTTAACTTTTGAACGATTCCGGGAAAAATGAAAAGTTAGTCTCGGTTCCAATCGATACTCGATTCTCGATACCCAACCCTAGAGAAGCCTGCTTTCTACTTTCATCAACAAGTTTGGTTTGTGTCAGCCGGTTAGGATAGTCCTCTGCTGTTTAATTTACATGCATTAGATAATTTCTTAGTTTCTCTGATCACTGGACCTATATGGGCTTGTTCGTGCCAACACAGACTTCTCGAGCACATGCAGCTGATATAAGTAACGGTTAAATATACAACTCAACTTAACTATAACAAATAAAGACATGCGAGTTTTGAATAACTTAAAACACAGAATCTAAATGACCCGTTGCGATACTAATATTCACCCGGTGCACAGATGCACAGGATATGCAGTACAGCCACTTCTGAGTTATTAACTGATAATCTCCAAATGCCAAAATAGCAGTCAATATACAAGCGTATCAATTTCCTCTTTGTATATTCTAAAGTCGTTGCAACATTTTTATTATAAATAAATGATTTCAGCTTGGTCTGGCAGATGGAGCGGGACTGTTGAAGTCGGGAGCAGAATATGAATAAATGAACCTGCTTTTCTAGTCTCACACAAGCTTACAAGGGGCTTTTGCACCGGGTAGTTTTAGGAACTCAGTTATATGAACTCGCCACCAGGGGGATTCCCAGAGAAACAATGGTTTATTTTCCAACTTTTTCCTGGTTCCACCTCCAGTATGAACTCGTAAGACACGCTTGTCGTTGTGACTAACATTCTCTGTTCATTAGTTATGATCTGTTTAACAGTCCTGTTTAATACATTATTAGATAGTAGACAGTGATGAAAGGGTATTAGTGTATGCCGTGCGGTTGATATCTAGTGTCGCTGAGCAGAAATACATACTCATGTTTCTCTCGGTCCCTCAAGTTGCGTTGGATTTTCTCCTCAGCGTAGAGTTTAAGAGCTCCATCTATCACTGTTTTACATGTTCACAGAGTTAGATTCTGA